AAGAACATAGTGTGCCGCTACGGAATTCCCCACACCCTCATCTCGGATAATGGAGTTCAAGCAGTTCTGCGACGAGCTGGGCATCCATAAAAAATTCGCCTCAGTCGCCAGACCGCAAGCAAATGGCCAAGTTGAAGTTGTCAATAAGACCATCAAGCACACTCTAAAGGCCAAACTTGGGGCGGCCAAAGGAAATTGGGCTGACAATCTCCCTGAAGTCTTATGGGCGTACAGGACAACCCCAAAAACCTCCACCTCAGAAACCCCTTTTTCCCTAGCCTATGGCTGCGAAGCAATGATTCCTGTAGAGGTGGGAACTGGTTCTCTTCGGAGAGACTTGTACAACGAGGTTGAAAACGAAGCACTTATGAGGGCAAGTTTGGATCTCATTGAAAAGCACAGCAGCAAGGCTTCGCTAAGGATAGCAGCCCACCAGCAACGTGCGAAGAGGTTCTTCGATTCAAAGGTCAAGCGAAGAGACTTCAAGGTCGGAGACCTTGTGCTAAAGGAAGTTCTCCTTGGGACCAGGGAGCCAAGTGCGGGGGTACTAGGACCTAACTGGGAAGGATCGTACCGGGTCGACAAGGTGATCAGACCGGGGACTTACCATCTCAAAAGGTTGAACGGTTCCAAAGTACCCCAAGCTTGGAATGCCTAGCACCTCCGGCCATACTATCAGTAATCCCGAACTCAGCTCTCAAATTAGTTTTTGATTTTGTTAGTTCCCTCTTTGATGTAAAGTATTATTTTGTTCGCTGGAAACAGTTCGCATGTATTCTGTTCGCTTGTAACAATTTGCATGTAATATTGCCCATGTAAAACTGAATTGTAAACTGCACTTATGTATGATAAAGCGAACAGCAATTGAAAGCAAAATGTATTTTCATTTATTTACAACAAAAATTGTTTGAAGACCCTATTCCGATGGAGTCAGCCTTATTGCACTATGGCTGGTTGGAGGGACCCTTCGAAGCAAGACCCGAACCCTCTGCCTGGTCGGATGTTCGGGTGGCCGCTGCTGCTTGATCATCTTCCTCCGCCAAAACCCGCAAGGTCTCTTGCCACCCCTCTGGGAGGTTGGACATATCCATATCTGGGTTCTTTGGTCGCAGGCTATAAATGGACCTGATTGCCCAGTCGGCGGCCTTATCCTCGATCTCCTCTGACTGGATCCGCATTTCTTCAGTCAGTGAAGCAATTTTTTCCCGACTCTCTTGGAGTTCGGCCTCAAGAGCTTGCCTTTCCTTTTCGGAGGCCTCCATTTCTTGTTCAGCTTGCTGAGCCCACATGGAGGTCGTCTGGAGCTCCTGGTCCTTCTCTCCGACCTCCTTAGAGAGCCTAGCAGTTGTCCTTTGAAGCTCCTTTACTTCCTCCGCACGTTATTCAAGCTCCGCCTTTTGGAAGTCCACTGTCCGCAAAGTGGCATCCTTTTGGTTCAGGTACCTGTTCGCCGCTTTGAATGCTTGCGTTCTTTCCGCTTTGACGGACTCCAGGCTCTGTTTGAGCTTTGCGACCTCCTCCTTTAGGTCAATTGCCCCCTTCGCGGCCCTCAGTCGAGTCTTCTCCATGGATATCCTCATCGCAAGCAAAGCCTGCGAGCAAGAAGTGAATTAGAATGAAAACGGCAGGCAAACTTTAAGAGCAGTTCGTTTACCTTGCTTAGATGCTAGAACGATGTGGTCATTAGGTCATCGCCCGTATCGGCGAACTCATCATATGACTTCGATAGCCCACACTCGAGCAGAGAATAGACTATCGGCTGCAGGTATTTGGGCAAGCTCCCCAACGAGTCCAGCACTGGTGCGTCCTTCGCCTTGTCGGCAGTAATCACCTCGTCCGCGGGTTCCTTACCCGACTGTAACAACTGCTGAAAACTAGTACAATGCATGCATAATTACAATATAAAATTGGGCCCTAAAAATTTCTTTTCATTAGAAATCATATGTCTTTTATACACAAAGATTACTGTTTACAAAAATGCATTTTAAAAGATAANACCTTCTTAGAGAGCCTAGTAGTTGTCCTTTGAAGCTCCTCTACTTCCTCTGCACGTCGTTCAAGCTCCGCCTTTTGGAAGTCCACTGTTCGCGAAGCGGCATCCTTTTGGTTCAGGTACCTATTTGCCGCTTCGAATGCTCGCGTTCTTTCCGCTTCGACGGACTCCAGGCTATGCTTGAGCTTCGCGACCTCCTCCTTTAGGTCGCTTGCCCCCTTCGCGGCCCCCAGCCGAGTCTTCTCCATAGACATCCTCATCGCAAGCAAAGCCTGTGAGCAAGAAGTGAATTAGAATGAAAACGACGGACAAACTTTAAAAGCAGTTCGTTTACCTTGCTTAGATGCTGGAACGACGTGGTCATCAGGTCATTGCCCATATCGGCGAACTCATCATATGACTCCGATAGCCCACACTCAAGCAGAGAATAGACTATCGGCTGTAGGTATTCGGGCAGGCTCCCCAACGAGTCCAGCATTGGTGCGTCCTTCGCTTTGTCGACAGCAATAGCCTCGTCCACGGGTTCCTTGCCCGACCTCCTTCTTGAGTCCTGTCGCAACCTCAAGGATTCTTCCTCAGATTCGGTCTCTAACTCGTCGACCTGAATCTGCTTCCTCTTCTTCGACCTCTGGGCCGGAGCCTTCCGCCTTGGGCGAGGAGGTGGTGTCTGAGTGACCTGTTCTATCCTAGTCACTTCTTGCACAGGACAGGGCTGGGAAGGCGCGGCTGTTCGCACCGGTTGTGCCGTAATGGGACGAGTAGCTTCGGCCGCTCTCTCTCTCCTCGATCGAGGGAAGACGAACGGTGCTCGGCGAGGCTGCTTGGACTCTTTCGGAGGCATAGTCGCTGCATGTAAGTACATCAGTAAACAAAATTATTCTGCGACCAGAAGGGAATCAGTGTAACTTACATTCTAGGGGCTCCAAAGACGCACTGTTACTGATGAAACTGTACTTTCGCAAGTTCGCGGTTGTCACGAGCTTCATCACTTCCCGGCTTTCCTCGGGAAGGACTCCAAAAGACACGAGCCTGTCCAGGTCGTCAAGCAGGTCTTGGCTGGTTGTCTTATTAACTGCAAAAGAAGGCTGGTCGTTATGATAAAGCATGCGAACAGACAATGAACCTAGCGAAGAAGAACCTACTTGGTTTCTGAAAGCGGTAGTGGCCGTCATAGCAGAAAAAGAAGAATTTTGTCTCGTAGGCCCCCGCATTGCTGGGATAGCTATGTATCCTTCGGCGATGGTAGATCGCTGGGACAAGTAATAGGAATCCTTGTCCTTACTCTTTTTGAGATAGTAGCCACACTCGCGGCACATGATGTACATCGCAACGGTGATGACATACGCATTTGGCGTCAACTGCATCGGTGCGATCTCGAAATGATCCAGGACCGACCTGATGAAAGGATGGAAGGGAATCATCCCTCCACCCTTGAAGATCTCTTCGGAGATCGCAGCAAGGCCATTGGAAGGATGCCATGACGACCGAGTGTTGTCGAGGAACACCTCTGCGCGGACGTCGAACTGCCTTTTTATCCTATCGAACTCTTCTCGGGTGAGAACTGAGAAGACATCAAGGGATGCGTCCTGCGAAGATGAACTGGTTCCTTCCTCAGGTCTAGACATTGACGGTTCCATTCCAGAGTCTGCAACACCAACAGATAGGGTCATTTTAGCCATTGCATGTTGTCCCGCGCAACGGCATGGGACAAATTCCTTAAACCCTAACAGTAACTCGAGCCGCCATCCACGGCTCGAATCCAATGACAACGTCGCGTCTCTGGTGAAACACCGGGTGACCCAACGCCATTGCCCACCAACCTACCAAAAAAAAAAAAAAAAGGAGAGGAAGAAGAAAAAGGACCTTACCTTCTGGGACGCGTGACCAAGGCCGGATCTTGTTTCAGATGTCTGAGAGGTGCCAATCAGAAAAGGAGAACTTCCGGCTTGCAAAAGCTTGTCACTCGAGGCAAAAGGGATTTTGGTGGCATCATCTGAAAAATTTGGGCTTTTATATAGACTGCGAACCGACAGTTACCACCTCTCGGAATTGAAAGGATAGCCTTCTCTCTCTCCGCATTAAATGCACCCCACGTCGCATTCAATGCTGTGATGAGGGTCGTCGTTTCAAATGTGTCGTGCAATTAATGTTGTCAAAACAACGCCGCGTTAGCACACAACGCATTTAATGGGCCTACCAGATGCTTTAACACGTGCAGAGCGCCTGACAGTGCAGAAGCAAGCTCATTGAATCTCCAACCCTACGGCACGGTAGGAATGTCCGACAAATCCAGGTCGCTAGGATGATGATTGTCAGGTTGTTTGGGCAAAAAATTGTGCAAGGTCGTGTTCGCAAAAGGCCTTGTCCCGAGCTTCTTCCATTCAGGTCGAAATTACTAGAACCTCCAATCGTGGCATGACTTAGTTTCCAAGGTTCGATCCTCAAACCTTAAAAACTAGGGGACTTTTGTTATGCCTGGGAAAACAAGGGCTGACATGGAAAGTCACGTGATGAAGTGTGACCTGCTCCCGTCCGAACGGTAAGCGCACGTTAGGCCTGCCAAGCACCGTGGAGCTCCCACGTGTCCATTTCCCTGCTCCAAATCGTGTGAAATTAGCTTGGGAAGTGGGCAATGGGACGTAAAGCCGGATTATGTCCTGACATTCACACCAACCCATGGATTTAATGATAATTACACGCATTTATCTCGATATAAAAAGAGGAAGACCCCTTCATTAAGGGGATTCGGCCATTTTTACACTTGAACTCTCTCTGTTTGAAAAACTTTTTATTTACTTTTCCCAATCATTTGTAAGTCAATCCGCTTTTGCGACCTGACCCACAATATTAATACAAATCAGTGGACGTAGGACTTGCTACCTTAGCATCCGAACCACTTTAAAAAACTCTCATTGCATTTATTTCACATTCTCTATCCATAATCACGTGTGTTTCTTGACCAATCAATGTTAAGCACGTGTCGATTAGTTGGTGTTAGAATCACGCATCAACAGTAAAGATTCAAGATAGCACTATAAAGAGCTTGCATATATTCTGGCAAATCAACTAGCGCACTAGAATCCCACCTAAAAGTATCAAAGATTTTAATTACAAATTAGATATGTGCACGACAATAAGCTCCTATAAAATGTGTAAGATTAGATTTGTTAAGACTAATAATATACTAATAAAAACCTTTTTAGGGCATCTGTGAAACTTTGGAGCTCTTCAGCTGTACCATATGCGTCATATGTATCATCCATAACTGTAAGAATCGTTGTAATTTTAGTATTTATCATCCGGGCAATCGAGAAACGAGGCTCAAAATAATCTGCTATCGACAACATGTAGAACTCGACAATTCTGTCTCTTGAGTAAGGATATTTTGATGCCAAGTCACAATCCTTCCACCATCTGCAATAAGATTGCAGAAAAGTTGATTCATCATGTACAGAACTTCTTCAGAGCAAAAATAACTAAAGTGATAGATACAATATTTACCTTGTAAGATATTTCATCTCTTGTTGGTGTAGCAATTGTACCTTATTGAAATCTAACTTTGCAAACATGAGTAGAGTTTCATTTCTAAATTCATGGTCTTCTTCATAGAAAGAGATGTATTGGCGTGCTTCCAATCTTGGAACACCTTGGTGCAAGGGCAAATCAAGGGCATTCATTATATGTTTTGCGAAATGAGGACTGGATTTTTCGGCCAAGGACTTGAGATGAGAGGTTGTGAAATCAAGGGCCTCCTCAAGAATTTCTTCCCCATGTAGTCTCAAATGTGTCGCTTCATATAAACTCAGCATGCCTCTTACATCGTTGGTTAAACTTTCCTTGAACATACCACCACTATTCTTCAACTTGTTGAACACGGCTGATTAGCAATCAATTGTAGTTTGTTAATCAGTTTTTATCAGCTAAGATATATTTCTATAATTCACATATATACGATGTTCATGCGTTGATACAAATTAAGAGGTACTTACCGCAAGAAATCTTGAAACCATATTGTCTGAAAACTCGAAATAAAAGAGCAATAGTGTAGAGATCATAATCATTATCATCCGCAAGGTTAGGTTGTGCTTCACAAATTTGAGTTAGTTGTTCTTCAATTTCCGTCTCAAAGTGATATGACACACCAAGACGACATATAGAGTCAATCAAACAAAGTTTCTCCACTGGATCACTCATTGAAGCCATTAACATTTCTTTCACCTGTTGCTTTAGCTCTTCAGCGAGTTTATCATTTGATTTAATTTCCTAAAATCAAAACAACATGAATTTATACGTTAGAATTTAGTAAAACATAGAGAATAGAATATTCATATCTCAAAAAATTACTGAAGAGTACGAACTTAATTAGATATAGCTAATTATTTAACTTAATGAGGACCAATCAATTTGCTAAAACATGGAGATTAATATGGCATGTAAAGGAAACTAATATAAATTAATTATACCGAATGAGGTATTTCAGAAGTGAAGATGTTGGGGTCTTTCCAAATGGTAGGGGCAAAGTTTGCGAGCGGACGATAAGCTTCTTGGTTGTTTTCAGATGCTAAACATGGCTGCAGCCTCCTTGACGCTTGTAGTGAGTCTGCAGAATGCTTAATAATATTGCTGGGAGAAGCAAAAAAATCATGAACAAATATTTTAGAGGGAGGATTTGCGGATGATAGTAGAAAGCATTTGGAGGAATTCAGTGCTGGTACAAGAGTTTGCAAAGCCATTGATGAGTTCATGGAAATGAAAATGAAGTAAGATAGATGACCAACTTGTGCTAATCAAAAGGCTCAAATGGACCCTATTTATAGAAAGCATTCGATCATATTCTGACTAGTGAATAACGTGTTCCATATTTACCAGGCTCTTAGATCATCTTCTGACAGGCTATTTTAATGTGGTCAGGCTCTCAGATCATCTTCTGACAGACTATTTTGATGTGTTCATATTGACCGTATCCTTTTGTAAATGAGTAATGCTACTAATCCATTTAGCAGTTGAGTTAATAAATTACTTCAGTTATCCTATTATTTTATGTTTAAAAATATGTTGCCAAATTGATTGTCAAGTGGGATGTAAATTTAAGATTCCAACTTTATATATTTAGCATTCCCGTTTGTAAAAAATCTGATAATAAATTTGTACAGCAATAAGTCTAAAACTCTTTTATCACAAGTTTATTGTGGTTTCTGCCAACAGCATGTGAAATGGAACATGGCCTTCCTCCCTGTTTATCACTCGTTGGAAAAAAAAATTATAGGCCCTATCTTTTTGTGAAATAATGACGTAGAACTTCTAGCGGATAAATTCATGGAGCATAAAAGTCTACGCGTAAAGCTCAAAGACCCTACATAAGCATGCCCCATTCAAACGGTCATAACTTTTGATCCGAGAAAAGTTTCAGGGCCCCTAAGATATCGTTCGAAAGTTTATTTCGAGCCTGTCAACGTGACAACTAATTTCAACTGGTTGAAGGTCATTTTCGTGGTCAAAATCTACCTTTTTGGCTTGTTTTAGGGTTATTTTAGTTGTTTGCCTGTTTTTTTCTATTTTATTTCTAGTTTTCTTGTTTTAATTAATTTAGTTTTTATTTCCTTTTGTTATTAGAAGTCTTATTAGGGTTGCTTATCACCCTATATAAACTTACTTTTTGTTTTGGATGTTATTTTATACATGTCAAATTTTTCTTCAAATTTCAAAGTTTAAGTTTCTGGATTGAGATTTGTGTTATCAATTCTAAAAGTGTAGTGGAGTGTTGACCTTGTTTACTCACGCTAACTCGCTACGTCAAACTACACTTTCTTACCTTCGGTTTTGGAAACTATAATTGGGTGGCCGAAATATATTTTATGTTCAACTAATAAAAATTTCAATAAAACTACACTTACAATTTTTTCATACAACTTTTTTATAAACTCTGAGGTAGTAGTTTGCGATTGATCAATTTACATTAGGACAAATGAAATCCAATGCGAACTGACCAATCATGAGTTACCACATCAAAATTGTATAAAAAAGTTATAAGTATAGTGCTGCTCTAAACTTTCTATATGCAATTGCTCATTAAGCATTTTGCCTCATATATTACAAGATTGAAGTTATGTTTTATATATATTTAAAATATAATGATAGATATGTTTAAAAAAAAAAAAACAATAAAAATTTTACGAGGAAAGATTCTGGAGTCCCATTACAGAAATTTGTTTTATTTAGTCAATGCATTTTGATTAGTTATCTCCCATATAATCTTAATTTACCTCCAATTATTCACTGCCTGCTAGGACCCCAGTAAAATAAAAACATTTCAATTAGAACCCCGACCTTTCCCAGCACATGAATAATGTACATATCACTGTTTTTTCATGATCTCCAAATGCGATGGAGAGTACACACAGAAATTGAAAATACTGATGCCACCATTTTTGACACCCCTATTTTCAACTTTCATCAACACTTTCTTGAAGTAGCACATCATATATCTCTCCATGCTCATCATTGGAGTATTTCCTAGTGAGGCTAGGCTCAAACTTATATTTGGATAATGATCGGATCATGTCTTATTTTTATAAACTTTCTCTCAAACCCCCTATTTAGTACCATGCAATTAGTCAGTTCACAATTTGGTAGATAGAGCCCATAACGAGCAAACGAGATCTATTTGTGAGCTGACCAATTACGAGATATTACGTTGAGATTGTAAGAGAAAATTTGTAAGATTATGTTATAAATGCAGTATTACTCCTTGTATTTAAAATTCAATTTTTGTAAATTTCAAGGTCGGTTTGGTATGACTTCTTCAAGTATAACTTAAGGGAAAAAAAAAGAAAAAAAACTTATGGAAGAAGATCTTATTCGAGTTGAGCTTGTATAACAAATTTGTTAGTTGTTAGGCTAGGAAAATATAAAAGAACTTTCTAAAACTAATATATTAAAAAAGGTTTTAATATAATAGATCCAAAGTTATTTTTGAAATTTTAACATTTTTAATAAGTGCAAAAAGAGTTTATGTTTGAGCTTCTCTTAGAAGTTACAAAATAGTTTTTTTTTTTATAACTGTATGAGCACTTTAGAAATGCAACAAAACAACCTAAAAAATTTAAAATACTTTTATGATTTATTAAAAAAAAAACCTATTTTGTCCTGTAAAGAAATCCAACCAAATATGCTCCTAGCATGGGTGAAACAAACAAATTCCAGAGTATATTTTATTGGTCAATATTTTTTTCTATATTTCCATTTTGACATGTGTAGAGAGTGAAATTTAATAGAAAATATGGTCGGTGGACGATAAATAATAAGATATATTCACCAATTTTATTAAGAGTTCATATATATAGATCTAAAATCCACCTAATTTTCGACTACATTAAATGAGAACTCTACCTTTCCTATCATATGGCATCAACTTAATATAATGATCACTTTCTAGGTCACTCCTTTGACAAGTATTAATTTTGTTTTAAACCTACTATTTCAAGATGCTTTCAAAATAGCTCCTTTATCTTTTTCACTCCAGAACGGAACATTGATTTGATCTTATAATCAATATTCAATCTCAAATGAAAAACAATTATTAGATTCAAGACCAAGATGGGATAAATTTTATGATTTGAGTGGATCCCTCTTTTTCTTTCTCTAATGGTTATCACAACATTTCCAACATCAAACTAGATTAAATCAGCTTGATTATATCAACTGTGATGTGTATGAAAGATATGAAAGATAAAATATGGTACACTTCATTTGGGAGTGTTTGAGAATAGAAAACAAGAATCATATGGAAGTGGTTGAGAATAGGAAACAAGAAGAGAAGAGCGAGCACACAGACATCCTGGAGCCAACAACTTTCTGCAAAAAAAAATTAATTATGAAAGTAGCCGCTGGCCACCACGTACGCAGAGGAGAGAGGTCGATAGCAATTTTGAACGTTGTATATATTTTACATAGTCACCTCACCGCTCAAAGCCAAAGCCGCGTCATCGAAATAGTCAATTCATCTTTCAGGACAAAATAATATTTGAACCCGTGAAAGACCACAGTGTGAAAGAGAGAAATCCAAACTCTTTTACCACGAGTTTATTGTTGGTTTCTGCCAACGGCAGGTGAAATGGAACAATGCCTTCCTCCCTGTTTATCACATGTCGGAAAAGTTTTATAGGTCCTATCTTTTGTGAAATAACACTTTCTTACCCTCGGTTTTGGAAACTATCATCTGCGGTTCATGCATCTTTACTCTCAGATAGGTTAAATTTATATTTTATCTACTTTTCCTATATTTTAGCTTTACTTCACATAGAATATGTGCCCTTCGCGCGGGGAGGTGGGGAACGCCAAGATTCTTATCTGTGGGTAGTCCGAACATAGTTTATGTTCAACTAATAAAACTTTCTATAATTATATATAATATGTTTCACAATTATTCATTAAACATTTCACCTCGTATATTAGAAGTTTGAAATTATGTCTTATGACAATATATATCTTATATATAATGATAGAATTTTTTTTTTTTTTAAATACAAATTTTAAGAGGAAAGACTCTAGAGAGTAGAGACCGTTACAAAAATTTGTTTTATTTACAGTACTAAATCACCTCCATTTCTTCAGCGTTCCATAAGACCCAGTAAAATTGAAACATTTCCTACCTTTTCCGTCACATGGATGATATCAGCATCCCTGACATCATCATTCTCACCTTCTTTATCCCCATCAGTCATCACTTTCACTCCATTAATGTTTTTATTGTATGTACTTCTCCTTCTTTTGTCTCATTGGTCATCAATCCCTCACCTCTCATATGATGGAAACGTGTCCACCAAGTGCACTTTTTCAGTGAAAGTTTATTCAATGCAACTTATTTTTAATCTCTTCCGCGTTGAAATTGCAGGAACGAAGAATGGTAGAGAGAGAAAGCTTCAACAGCATTTTTCTCCATCTTTCTTTCTTGTTCTTCACTCTTTCATTTTTACTGTTTTAATTTTTAAAGCTCTTCCGACTCTTCAGCTTTCTTCTAATCAAAAGGTGCACGCCTTCTACCCCAAAACACACAAACACATTCACTCTTCTCGGTTGACAAAATTCTCATTTTCTTCTCTCTCATTAGTTGTGTGTCCCCACTGTTATAAAATATATTTTATTTCTTTATTTTTGTTATTTATTTTTATAATTTATATTTATATTGATTTGATTATTATTTATATTAATATTTATAATAATTATATAATTAAAAAAATGATGAAAAATTCAAAACAAAATTGTATTCAATACAAATATTAAACTACAAAAACTCAAAATAACAATTAACACTAATTTAAAAACACTAAAATTAAAAGAAAATACAACATAAACTAAAATAACAATTTAGTATTCCGATAGATTAGTTTTAGATCTTTTAAGATCATTAAAATATTAGAAAGAACTAGAGTTTATCATAAACAAATTAAGGGTACGGAGGCTCACCATGCTTTTCCAAAATGCATTTATTAATCATTTATGAGAAGAATATACTAATTCGAAAAATTAAATTACTATCAATATAGAATTTTACTTTTGTGTTATTGTTATCTTTTTTTTTTCGTGGCATTTTATATTAGATGTAATGTTTTTTTATATTCAATGAAATGTTTATTTGATTAAATAAATGCTTAATTTTATTAAATTCGTATAATTTTTAAAGTTATTATTATTTAATAAAAATATCATTCCTGATATTTAATTAATATATACA